GAGCCCAGCCACAGAGTTGACAGAGTTCAGGGGCGCGGCCAAGAGGAGGACGAGAGGAGGACAAGGCCCAGCCGCAGAGCCCAGCCACAGAGTTGACAGAGTTCAGGGGCGGCCAAGAGGAGGACAAGAGGAGGACAAGGCCCAGCCACAGAGCCCAGCCACAGAGCCCAGCCGAGTTGACAGAGTTCAGGGGCGTGGCCAAGAGAGGAGGACAAGGCCCAGCCACAGAGCCCAGCCACAGAGCCCAGCCACAGAGCTCAGGGGCGCGGCCAGTGAGTGTGGCCAGCTCTTTTCTTTCTAAGATAGAACCCCAACAGTAAACTGTCTGGGGAATGAAAAAGATTGATGAATCCAGTGGGTGCCATTGAACTCGAAGGAGTGTAGGAGTGTAGCTGAGGGAACGAATCATCCAGTCCAAGAACATGAACCAACACACCGTGAACTTCGAGTTTTGGGTGGAAAACGCTGTAAGTTATCATAAGTTATCTCATAAGTTGGCGTGTCCCATACATCTTTGGCGCTTCTCGTGTTGAAGTATCCTGCATGCCATCTCATCTCTATGTCGAGAATCATGCCATACAAATTGGCGCCCAGCCAGTGCAAAGATCCCTGGCTTGGCTCATTCGAGCGTTGCTCTGTTTCGCATGGCGCTCAGCGTTGCTCCCATGCGTTGCTGGTTTTCCTTCACATCCCTAGACTCCATGGTGGTTGGAGATGTACTAGGCTATTCAAATATATGGGGCCTTTCCCATTTTTTTGTTCTTTTTATTTTTTTGTATTTTTTTCGTAGCACTGTGTCGAACCCTCTTCATTTTAAACCATTTCAATATTATAATATGTTTTCTTATTTTTTAGATGTTATTTCCTTGAGAATTTTGGAAATGATTGGCTTGTTCGTATGAAGGTGAATGACAGCCGCCTTGTCTGACTGGGCCCCTTCTTGGATCTGGGGCGGGTGGAGAGGATTGGAGAAGAGACCATGGATTTAAACCCTCACCTGCTCGCCAGGCCGAAGCTTTTGCTTCGACCAGCAGGCGAATGGCTATGTCATGGGCGAATGTAGCATCTCGACCGTCCTGAAACCCTACGCCGAGAAGGCACCCGCGCTGGCGCGCAGCGGTGCGCACAGTGGTTCACATGGACGACGGGACTAGCAGAGTGAGAGCATGGAAAGTGGAAGGACGGGTAGGACAGGTGAGACAGGGTGGTGAAAGGTGACGGGGCAGGACAGGTGTGGCTGCAAGCAGATGCAAGCAGATTCCTATAGAAGTTCAAAGACGATGTTTTGCACGGAAATTTCAGCTAAAAAATCCTAATTCGACCATGTACGTTTAAACTTCTTTAGGAATATGGTTTGGACTTCCACGAAATTCCTTCTTTAAGAATTTCCTTAAGTCTTGGACTGCCAGGAAGATGTGTGTGTCTTGTTCCGAGGGAGAACTCCGTTACTGTAGAGCGCTTCAAGCCTGGAGCCCCTTGCTGCCCCCAAAGTCGTCGACTTGGGATCAGCTCTCCAAGAGTTCAACTTGCAAGGTATGGAAGCTCTGTCACATGGAACACACCCTAGAAGCGCAGAGTGCAGTTCGACTCCATTTCGCACCACTTCCTCTTCCACTGTCCGTGAGTGAGGGTCCGTCGGCAGGTGGATGGCGAACTGCTGGTCTCCAAGGATCCCTGCATCGGCAGCATGGTATCTTCGGACAAAGGATTTGAGGTGGTGGAGGGAGGTGTGGGGTTTGGGAGGGTGGTTTTTGGGTTCCTAGCTGTTCCTATAGTCTCTCTTGGTCTTTGAATTTTTGAGCCACCTGCAGGTTTCACCGCAGTCCCAGGTCTGCTTACGAGCAGCTGCCAGCTGCTGAGCAGGTGACATCCTGCTACATCCAGCTGAGTGAGGACCATTGGACGCTCCGATTGGGGCCGAACACGAGCGCGGTTCGCTCGGTCGGAGCACTTGCAACGCTCAGGTTGGATGGCACGTGGTGAACAACGGCCGCAACGCCAGCCGCCCGGCGCGTCCGTGGCGTCCGTGGCGTCCGTCACGTAGACCGTGGCGCCGGCGACGACGTAGACGGTGGATGAATCAAAGCCTTACTTTTGGGTATATGAGAATCGATCAGAAAAGGCATGTTGCTGGCATTCGTTTGGGTCCAAACTGATCGTCCAAAACCAGGTTTGGTGGAACGGAACATGGTAAATTCGAATAGTTTTTACATCTCCAGGCACCCAGCAGGGGGGTGTTACTGCTCCGCAGACTCCGTAGACCGCTCCTGGTGCTGATGGAAGATAGGAAAGAGAGACGTGATGATCACCTCTGCCGTGCGCCGTGCGAAGTATTGCTTTCCGGCAACGCCGCAGTAAATCCCTAGGCTTCCAACCACCATTAATTGAATAGGCTGAATCCCGAACCATCTAAGGATCTTACACTACAAAGCAGGCCAACCATTGTTTTAATGTTCTGGGGAGTCTAGGGACATGTGTTGATAGATGGACATTGGATACTGTTCACGTTACTGAGAATACAGCTTCTCGTCTGGGGCCTGCCATGATGCCCCATAGGCAGGCCGGTTGGCTTGCGGCGATCGGCTGACAGAGGTGTATTTTTCTGCAAGAACCAGACATGGGGACCCAGAACTAGATAGAAAATACCTGACATTACATACCTATTCCTTACAGAGGTGCATGCTAGTTGTCGGTGTTGTGCTCCGACAAGGGAGGAACTTCAGTACTTCAGCACTAGCAGCTTCCAAACCACTGGAAACTAACATAGATGTTTCCCCCCCGTCGCAGCCACTTCCTAGCTATCAGGATCTGAAGTGCACTATTGGAAGAAGCATTTGTTGGTGGGACGAGGTTTCCAGGAGTCCCAAGTACATCCTAAGTGCATCCAAATATAAGGAGCCGAGTCAGCCAGTAACAGCCAGTAACAGTCAGTAAGTCACAGATGTTCAAAAGCGCACAAAAAGGAACCATCATCATCCACTGATCCACCGGGCCTGGGCCTAATAATATCCAAGTACACCTTCTTCTTCTCCAGCAGCAGGCTGTCCGGAGCAAGTCCACACCCCTCCCACCTCTCCGCTCCTCTCCGCTCTCCGCGCCGCCTGCGCGCGCGCCGAGGCATGTCGGCGCCGTGCGGTCCCGCGGAGCAGGAGGTCATCAGCGAGAGCTTCCGCATGGCGAACTTGAGCCCCCTGGACCATGCGGGGCCCGGGGGCGGAGGGGAAACGGCACCGGGTTCCGGACACGGAACGGACACGGTGTGGATGTGGATGTGGCAGTATTCCCACCAAGGCGGGGGAAACGGAACGGGGGGCGTTAGGCTACTAGTGTACTGAGGTGGAACACGAGTCAACTGAGAACTGCAAGTCAACTTAACTTAGAAAGTGTTTCAGCTTGTGGGTTGGAACCCAAGAACTTCATTTCAACTTGCAGGACTTCCAATAGTTGGCTTCTCAACTTGCGTTACGCACGTGTGGAGCAAAAATTGGCTGGAACACCTCGCGGATCCTCACAGACCATCCTGTTTTGCTTCTGGTACATGACGGTGTGCGTGAAGCTTGTTTTGCTCGTGCTCGTGGGTCCAATGTACACTTCCTCCTCCTTGTTCACCTCCTCCTGGTTCGATGAAGCGAGTGAAGACCATCAGACTGGCCACGCCTCTCATCAGACTCATCAGGGGGAGCATCCGACTTCCACCGCGCCACGGCCACGGCCACGCGCGCCAGCGCAGGACGTGGACGCCATGGAGTGCCACGCGGAGGGCGCCAAGTCAGCCGACTCCGTGGAGTTGGCGGCCTGCTGCACCGCGCTGCGCGGCAGCGGCACGGCCGGGGCGGAGGAGGTGGGGAGGGGAGGGGAGGGGAGGGGAGGGGGGAGGGGATTGAGGGGATGAGGGCGGCCTGGTGGGCAGGAGAGTGGTGGGATTTGGGAAGTGAAGTGATGGAGAATTCTTGAAATTGGAGACGTTTTTTAGACGTGGCCGGAAGAAAGTCTATGACTAGTAAAAGCCGAGAAGCCTCAAGTCTTTGTGTACGGTAACTGCTTGCTTTTCTCTAGGAAGAGTCATGAGTCATGATCCCCCCAAACCCTCATCAGCCTGGTTTTGCTGGTGATGTCTATTTGTTCCCTCCGGGTGAATGCCCGTGGGTAAGACCTAGGCTGTCCATGTTCCTCCGCCAAAATCCGAGCCGTTCCGAGCCAACCGCTTAGCTCGGCTCGGCAGGAGATGCTGATCTTCGGCTCCTGCAAGAGTCGCTGGGTGATCAACGATGATCACCAGTACGACCCGAACCGGAGGTTGGGGTGACAAGGTCAAGGCATGAGGTGACATTGCGAAAAAGTCACACAAAAAACCATATGCCGAAATTGAGTGGTGGCAGAGGACATTTAGTGAATATTTGTGATTTTTTTTTTCCTCCCGTTTTGCCAAGAGGATTACAAGGAGTCTAATTTAGGTAACCTACATTATTAAATATACAGAGGATCTCAAAATGCCTCAATTTACGCACATAAAGGGGAACAACTTGCTTGTAAAGTCGATGAACACCTGAAAGGCTGAAAGGAAACGGATAGATCAACATTCGTATTGGTCAAAACGGATATTGTAGGGAGGTTCATGGTGTGTTTTCGTTTCCGTCTCGAGACTAGCTTTCAGCGTCTTTTCGCGGGCCGCTCCCACATGCAAGGCAAGAAGGGCCGAGGGCCGATCAGACACAGAACACATCTAAGGCAACACCGGCGTGCAGCGCGAAGCTTGCTTCATGTCTGCCTTCCTCAAGGCCTTCGACTTCCGACCGAGTTCGCGAGTGAGCGAGAGGGTCGAGAGGGTGAGGACCGTCGCGGCCAAGATGGGCGAAGGAGGAGAGATGGCGAGTCTGCTGTTTTTCTTTATTTTGGAACGTGGTGGAAAACAGCAGACGGTCGTTGAACTTGGTCTAGCGGAGCGAAGGGTAGACTCTTGGATTAATTAACAACCCCTGCTCGAAAAAAGAAAAACCAATCCATGTCCATGGATTCGCTTCCGCCTGTTTCATATCAATATAGGTTGCTAGCTGCTATTCTTCATTCATCAACAGTCTACATGACTGGGTTTCTGACCCGTTCGGAGCCGTTTTCGTGGTGGCAAGGCACCAGGGTTGGTTTTGGGACAAGCCAGACATCACTAGAACGACCTCCACATACTTTTTGTGGTTGAAACTGCTTGCATCTGCTTGCAGCCATTGTTTTTGAATCACCTACTTAGGCTGTGGTAGTTTGGTTTAAAATTGAAGGCTATAGAATGGGTTAGAGGTTCAGTACGATGATGACCCCTTATTCGTGTCAAACACTCAAAAAAAACTCTGACAGATCGAGGAACACTCATGGTGCTTCACTCGGGGGGATTCTAGTCTTCGCAGCCACAGAGACTGCATGGTGTAACTTGTTCTTCTGCACCTCACGGCGCCTCACGGCCAGGAGAATAGTCAGATACCATCCTTAGACGAATAAACAGATTGCGCCTTGCGCCTTCCTTTCGGCGCAGGTTCGTTTGGATTGACGACTGTTCGTGGCGTACGGCTATACCGCCTCTTGTGCTACCAAACTCTCGTCCATCCTATGGTCCAGTATCTCCTGACCACGCGGACCACCCATACGCTGCTTCTGTTGCCCGTTCACACCGAACAGGGCGCGAACAAGGCTCTGTCTTTTGCTTGGGTGCTTCACTTGAACACGCTTCCCCCCGGTGCCTCAACGTCTCTAACCGGTCCCAGTGGCTTAGCTTAGTGCGGGGACGCCCCCACGGTGCTGCTGAGTATGCTGAGTATGTGGCTTAGTGCTGCTGAGTTTGCAGAACTCACTCATCTTCCAGGGGTTTGCTCACCTGGGTTTCCAGGTTCCTGAGGTCGACTTCAAGACCTATATCAGAAAGGGCTCACTTCAATCCCCTTTGGTAGGCACATCAGGCTTTGTTCTTACACAGACCTGTGTACTTTGTCAGTCTCATCACGCTGCGTGGCGACCGTTCATCGCGCAGGTCTTGTTCAGCATCACCTATGGCAACAACTGTCCCAACCTCCACCTCAAGCAACTCAACCCCTACTTCGAGGCCTGTCCCCGGCATCATGACGAAGTCAGTGCCCATGCAGGGAAACATTGGGCCATGTCAGGGCACAAATGAATCAGTCCCTAGTTGCTGCTTCTGAATATCAGGTGATTGTTGGTGTTCTTTGTGAGTTTGCTCCCCTTCTGGGGATGATTTCTATGTTCCCAGTCCCTTAAGCAAATATCCAAAGGAGACCCTTCACCGGATTTTCACCCGATGTTCACCGTTCTCCCGGTTCCGAAACAGCAAGTCGTCTAAGATGACCACATGCTACCTACACCCTGGAAGATTAACATAGAACCTGAAAACCACTGGGTTGTAGAGGAAAGTAGCCTTCCAAAGGTCCATTTTCAGGGTTCCATGTCAATCTTCCCGGGTGTGTTTCGTTCCCTTGAGTGTGCCGTGCAGCATTCAGTTCGGTCGCCGTCCGCACCGAAGAGACGTTTCTCTTCCCTTTCCGGTGGCACCGTGCCGCGGGGGCGCTGCGGGGCGCTGGGGTGTTCGCACGACACTGAGATCCTTTGAAGCTTCCATCGGTCCCACTCATTATGTTCCACATCCTTTCTGGGTCTCTCCACTCCCCTGACCCCTCTCTCCTCTCCCCCCCCCCCCAAGAAAATGCCCAACTTCCAAGACACCACCCCGCTTGCCCAAACGCTCTCCGGACCCCAACACCGCCCCGCCGCGTACACCGACCGCGCAGCACGCGCCGCGCGACGCACCGACCGGACCCAGCCGGGCGATGCGGCGCACTGCATCACCAGCGAGTCCATCGCCTATCGCCGCTCGGAGGGGCCACCCGCGACGGCGGGGCGAGGGTGGGTCGGAGCGGGTGGCGGATGGAGAGGAGCGAACTGTGGTGGGTCGGAGCGGATGGAGGAGGTATACCCGGCTGAAGTCCAGTTTGATGATATTTTGACTGGCTGAAGGTTGCAGGAAGTTCCCGAACTCAGTTCCCCTAGCTAGTCAGACCAGTCTTTTTAGAGTCGACTTGACTCCGGTATATGTGATGGGAGGATGTGTATGGATTTTGTGTTGGTGTGTGGGTGTGTGCTGATAGTTTTTGTTTTGAGGCATGATTCAAAGGTCGTTCTTTCCTTATAAGGTTGCAGGAAAGGGATGTGGCTCAAGGCTCTTCTGTGGAAAGATCCAGAACGCATGTGACAATTCATATATGAGTGGGACGGAAAGTGCTCATCCTTTTACTTGTTAAGATTGCTTTGTTTTCTAGGGACCTGTTTTGATGGTAACCCCAAGATCGATAGATACTCGTAGAATCTCGTAGAAGCGTCAACGTCAATGTCTTGTGAAGGTGTAATGTAGACTCTTGATTGATAACTTGATAACCCTCCCATTTGGTTTGTAAAGCCTCTCCATAATAAGGGGAGTTTTATGAACCAACAGTCAACATCATGTTTTGAACATTTTCCAGTGTTTTTCTGTTCTGCTGATTCAAGACCACTGTAGTGTCCACCTTGGGCTCTTTTGGCGTTCTCCAAAGGGGCTCGCGCAGTGCCGCGAGGTGCCAGTGGCCGCCCCGGGGAGTATCACAGTATCACCAGTGGTGGCAGCCCGCACGAGCCATGGCTCCCCAACGAAGGTGACAGTTTGACCAAGCCGAGGTGACAGCCGTGTCTTCCACGGGGCGGGTGCCAGAGGTTGGGGTGGCACCAGCATCAACCTGGTCTGCTGGGGGGCGCCTTGACAATGAGACGAGATGCGTTCGAGCGTGCGGGGCGCGCGCGAGGGGAGGCCCTAGTGCAAACATGTCTGGTTTCTAGTTGGTTCTTTCACTATGACCAGGTCTGAACTTGCCAGCTTTTCTGTTGGCTCTTTTTGGCGAGGACTTTCCAAGGATCCTCCTTTCCTCAGAAAGCAACATGTTGAGGGCAGATTCTGGCTTGGATCATTTTTGGAGATATCCAACCAGTTTTGTGTTTGGACCCATCCAGTGAGAATCTAGAACCTTGGTGACCTGCAGAATCAACACGAAGAATCACCTCCAAAGCACGAAGAATCACTCAAGAATCACTCCAACCAAAAGCCACTCACCACTCGTCATCGTCCAAAAGCACTCCTTCACCAATCGCCCAAGGGTTCAGGCCGCCCCTTCTCCACGGCGACGTCCCACCCGGGGCCGCGAACTTCACCTCTTCCAAGAGTTGAGAGACCTGTACTATAGGAGCCTTTTTGGTGCATGATGGGCCCGGGTGACAGATCTAGGGCAGGGCATTGTGAGTGTAAAACCTGCCTTCCACCATCCAGCACCAGCTGCCCCCCCTTCCCCAGACCGTTCCGCAGCCGTTCCTCGGAACGGCCCGAGTGGCAGCCGGCGAGGCCAGCAAGGCGGTGCGCGCCAACCAGGTGAAGTTCGCCAGGTCGGTGGAGGGTGGAGGGTGAAGGTCGGTGAGGGTGAAGCAGGGTGAAGCATTTTGGCTGAAGAAGAGGTGCTTGGAGCTGTGGGTTGAAGACGATATTTTTAGGTGTTACTATATACTAAGGTACTAGGTACTGGGTACTGGTGTGGTCTAGTTGTTGGGTGGTGAAGAGGTGGGTAGGGTTCCCAAATTCAAGAAAATGGAACTCTCAGGACAAATGGTGATGGAACACTCCGATGATGTCAGCATAGCCACTCACAATATATAGTCAGATATTGAGAATAAGGGTGCCTTTGGGCCTCAAATTGGAAGCACTACTTTTCTTTTCCTTCGCAAGGTTTCTGCTACTGAAAGACCGTGACACCCCGTGCCACTCAGCACAGCTCCAAGCAGAGTGGACAGCTCAGTAGCTCCGAAAGGCAGTCCTTTGCCTATTGGCCTGGCGGTGGTGACACGGCGAAGAGCCGCTTGGTGCATGGCGCATGGTGAAATAAGGTGTTGCTTGGGGAAGTCATCCGTGGAGCCGACGACACCATGGCGGACGGCGTTGATCATACTAGGCAAAATAAGTAATAACTCATTCAGTGGAGCGATCTTGGCAAGTTGGCAAGTTGTGAAAGTGAAGAGGATGGTGAGGCGTGAATGGGGCTCGGTGGGCTCAGTGGGATCTTCATTTCCTTACTTTCACCACTTCCCTTTGGACAGAGATACTATAGATGCACCCTAGAAGTCCAGTTCGACTCTATGTTAACCGGCTGAAGTAAAGGAAGTTCCCAAACTCAGTTCCCCATTCGTCAGACCATTCTTGGTATATCGTCTGACTTGACCGCCAGGGTACACGACGTTTCGTGTACACAAAACGACCTCTTCCGTCCGACGTTTGGCACTTCGATTCATCGGTCCATCGACCAGACGTTTCGGGCCCCTTTTCCAACCCAAGCGGTTAATAAACCACCCCCCCCCCCCCTCGCCCCACATGGTAGGTCAACAAGGTCAAGCAGATTCGGGATTCAGCCTATTAAATGAATGGTTGTTGGAAGCCTAGGGGAGAGCAGACCAGCTAAGCGACGAATCGGAGGCTCCAGCAGGTGGGTCCTCCATGTCAAGAGATGGTAACGTCCAAACGGCCGGACTCCAACGGATCTCAAACGAGTGGTATATGGCCATGTAGGTCCTCCATTTCAGAAAGAGATGCAAGAGTCGTACGACTCAAACGAGTCAGTGCCTGCATGGCCTGCCCCTTTTGGCATTTTGCCCGAAAACGCGGAACCCGGCTGAACCCGAATTTGCTGAGCGGCCCTGTTGAAGACCCACTGCCCAAGTGGTGCCTTATTATCTTATTGAAGAATGAGCTTTTTGTGTCCCAGATGAAACTGCTGAAGCAGACCAGGCTACTACTTGATCGGCACCTGGAACAACTGGCAGCCCGAAGCGATGACGCGGCAGGAGAACACCTTCACCGCCACCGTGACGTTCTTTGGAAGACAACCGGCGTGGGACCAGGACGTGTTTTTTTTTTTTTTCAAAAGGTCCCTAAGTACGGAGGTCAAGGTGTTTGGAGTGGGTTCGGAAGGTCAACACGAATAGATGGGTTGCCATATTTCAAGAGTGGGTCAACAAAGATTGGGACCCCCCCTTCTTGATGTAACAGCACATGAACAGCTGGAGCTCGATAGGTGGTGATGTATTGGCACCATTTCTAGAGGTGGGTCAGAACCCGACTGTTCAACTATCCAAGGCGGACCGGGATACGCCAGGTTTTTGGGGGTCCTATGGTCACGGTCAATCAACCTCTCTTGGGCGCCATGTCTAGCCTGTTCTTTGTCGGTCAAGGCCTGAAGACTTCGGAAGGTATTGATGGAGCCAGTAGCAAAGGGTCCAAGGGGTCCACGTCTGACTTGTGCATGACCCCAGTACCAAGGGCCACAAGGTCTAGCAGTTGCGAAAGGAAAAGGAGTCATGGGCAACATACAAAAGCCATGCCCTCAGTAACAACCCAAGTGAGGTCTGCCCTCAGTGAGATGGTGGATGCACTTGTGAGGTGGCAGGCTGGCTCTTCGAAGTATCATGGAAGACAAGAGACAATCTTCTTTAAAACACAATAGAATTCAGGGTCTATACATGTCCCCCTAGAAGATACTTTCCCTTAGTGAAGGAAATGATCTTTGGGATCCCCATACTCAGACCATTCTTTGTATATAGTCGACTTGACTCGCAGGGTGTCTATACTCTCAACAAAAAGACAGGGGCCCGCACCAATAGGTTCCGTCCAAGCGCCTTGGATCCGACTCACGTGTCATATGGGCCCGCAGCCCTCGCCCGTTCGCACGCTTCCATGCTTCTCTGCAAGTCTAAAGAATCCTGCTTGGGAGTGAGGCAAACATCAGCTGATTGATGTTTCCAGTCTGCCGGATGTGCAGCCCTTCAAAACTCAAAGGCCATTTGATGGGCTCTGGAGAGAATCCTACAAGGAACACGGGCACGAGTTCTCATACTCGAACACTCTGCAGATGATTTTGCATCCGATGCATTGGCTGAGGCTGGGGGCAAAGGGCTTTGAGTGCTTCCAAGTCTGCCTGGACGAGCAAAAGAAAGAGGCACCGAAGTCAGTTGAAATATGTCCTGCAAGGCATCTTTTCACACATTTTGTTGTTCCATAGTTTTGGAGCATTCGATACATAACCAGTTTTTCTATGCTTTTCTGACTCCAAACCAACTGAGAAGTCCACTTGAATCATGTTAAATCATTGGAAGTTAAACCAGATCGATGATTTCAGATTGTACACCAGCCCTGTTTTGTTGTCTTTCAGGTTATTGACCATATGGAATGGTCTACCCACATGGATTGGGACCTGGATGGCCCACATGGGATGTTCAACTGGATGCTTGAACATCCGCTCTAGGTCA